TGTCACAAAGGCAGCTAAAGCAGTCCCTGCATACAGCTCTTCAAGGTTTTCTCTCCATACAGAAGCCAATTTTCATTAAGCAGCAAATTAGAGCTCGGGAAGGACTAAGATTATTATATCTAACTAAAGGTACAGAGTAAATTTAGATGAGAGGAATTTATTGGATTATTTTGTTTGGGGAATACAACTTAAACACCTCTAGCAAAGCCATGAGATTCTTAATGAAGATGAGACTAGTTAATGCTTCAGTTCTACATCTCATCCCAAAGAAGCACATTTCTAAGATCATTATTACAGTCAAGTTGAGGTTTTCCTTCTTCTCCCTTCTGCCTTTTGAAACAAAATCCAAACCAACGTCCAAGAAAACCTGACCGTAAATTGAATAATACAAACTGCATCCCTATGAGCTAGAATATGAGCTATGTACTTGTATGACATATTTGAAAAGACACATCTGGAAATTAATGTTGTTCATTTATGTCCTGGTTTCACCTGGGATAGAGTTAATTTTCTTTCTAGTAGCTGGTATAATGCTGTGTTTTGGATTTTGGATGAGAATAAAACATGTTGATAATACACTGATGTTTAGTTGTTGCTGAGCAGTATTTACACTAAGTCAAGGACTTTTCAGTTTCCAACACCACCTTGCCAAGGAGGAGGCCGGGGGGCACAAGAAGCTAGGGAGGGGACGCAGAAGGGACATCTGAACCAAACTTGCTGAAGGGATATTCCGTACCATGTGGCATCATGCTCAGCATATAAAGCTGGGGGGAAAGCTGGCTGGGGACTGCTGCTCAGGAACTGGCTGGGCATCACTTGGCAGGTAGTGAGCAATTGCACTGTGCATCACTTGGTTTGTATATTCAAATTCTATAATTATTGTTATTATTATCATTGTTATTATTATTATCGTTATAATGTTTATTATTATTATTATTATTATTATTTTCCCTTCCTTTTCTGTTCTATTAAACAGTCTGTATATCAACCCACAAATTTTATGTTATTTCCAATTCTCTCCCCCATCCCACTGGCTGGGGGGGCAGTAAGGAATGGCTGTGTGGTGTTTAGCTGCCTGCCAGGTTAAACCATGACAATTTACAAGACAGAAAAGCTACTCGTGATGCCAGCACCAAGTAAACAGAAGAGAACTGTCCCCATTTCATTGACATGTATCATATGTATCTATATGTCTGTATTTCTCAAACACTGTAAATCTTCTCTGCCTAGTAGCAATCCTACCATAACAAGTGATATCTAAATACATTTTGGAGGAAAGATAAAAGCTCCATTATATGACAAGGAATATTATGACTAACAGAGAGATTATACTAACTATGAGTAAAACAAAGATGTTTGATCCTACTTATGCTGAAAGTTTTTAAAAATTTTTAAAAAATCTTTTAAATGAATTTTATCCTCAGAAAAATGATTAAAACCAAAAAAGCCTTGAGATGTCAGCTGGTGACATGTTTTTCTTCTTTATCTTTCTTTTTTTTTGTTGTTGTTGCTGTGAAAAAAAAATCTGAGAAAATACAGCAAAGTGCATCATTAACTTCTTATTAATTTTATAATACAAAGGCAATTCAGTTAAAATAGTGGTGCTGCAACTTTAAATTACAGAACTAGCTTGGTATTTAATGAGAGATTTAGCACAGCAGGGTTTCTGTTAAATTAAGTTGTGCCTTCACATCACAGTGGGAAAACAGGTGTATATTGGTTTAGAATTATGGAAATGTTGACTAATTCCAAGGCTTGTAATCAAACAGCAAGGCACCCTGCAATATTTTTTTCCAAGATTCTGCATTAATCATTTATGTCTGGTCTTATTTTCTTCATGTCCACTAAGAGGGTGCAGCTCAAAAGAGCAGATAGAGTTTTCATGTTAAGGGTGAGGTCCATGCAAAAAGTAGATACAGAAACAGAACACTGCAGCTTTGCTCAAATACCTACCCAAATTAAACCGAACGTGCAGTCTTGGAAGGGGGATAAATTTCACACTAAAAAACCCATTTTTTTGGCTTCACCAGTGCTGATCCAAAAAATGCTTACCGAGCCACATGGAACAGGTCTGCATTTAAGAAACGAAGAGACTAAGCTCAGTAATAATCTGGCCTCTATCATTTAATGAACACCGAGGCACCCCCCTCCACGCCCCTGCAGCAGTGTGGGTTATACCTGTGCACAGGTAACACGCAGGCGAGCTCCAACGCCGCAGCATCCCTGCAGGCCCCTGCTCCTGCAGCTGCCATCATTCCTTACCTCATACTAATAAATCACCTGCCTTTGCCTCAGATCTTTTTCCTGGGCTATTTAAGGATGCCTCTTATCTGACATGTGCTGGTATTACAGTAACAGTGGAAGGCATGGATTCTTTTGTTTCCAGGAGACACCTTATTACTGAACCTCCTACATACCATATCTCGTTTACTGGAAGCAAGCTGACATTTGATGCCCAAATGAACCTGATCCAAATTCATCCCTTGTTGTAACTCTGCCAGAAGATTGCTTCCATTTGCTCTGACAATGTTTTGCACATGGACCTATCCACTACCAATTCCTGCTCGCTCAGTGAAAGCTGCTTAGCGGGAAAGACCTAACAAAATGGACATTACTAAAATTCATACAAGGAGAATCCCGCTGTGTGAAGTGTTTTCAGCATGTGTGCCACACCTTTAATGTGTGCTTAAATTAAGTCGTTTTGGGAATGCACAGATGCAGCATAAAGGTATCCGACTATGCTGAATCTCAGCATACAGCATGTGCAAAATATAGAATCTGTTATATAATATATGCTGAATCGTTCTCAAAGAGAAGTAATGGAGTTGCTTTTTTTTATTAGATGTGTCCCTTTAAGAAGTAGGTATAACAACTTATCTCAAAATCTTAATATCTTTGGCAGTATCGGGAATATTTTTAAAGCCCAGGCCCCAGAGTCATGGGAATGTAATTTTCACATTTCCTTAAAAGAAAAGTTTGTAGCCTCACAGTCAGAACAGAAAAACACAGCTTGAAAAGTTTTAAATGACAAAGAGCTAGGGGTATCATTAAAAAAAAATATTTTTTTTATTAAAAAAAAATCAAAAGATACAGTAGTCTTTTTAACTGCTACATGCTTGTTAGCTGTACAAAAGCAGAGGAGAAAATGATGCCCTGCTCAAGTAAGATGCAATGCAGAGCTGAGCCGGCTTTGCCACCTGTACGTGGAGAGGTCAGGGAAGGAGTCTGCCCTTCTGAGTCACCTGCTGGGATAACTAAGATCTCTCAAAACACAGCAGCCAGCTCATGGGGCTCAGGGAAGAACAGAGGAGCAAACGAAAGGACCCTCTCTGCTTTTAAGGGAAGCGATGTATAGATCTTGTGGTTGATCTTCAGTGTAGGGTCCCACACCTTACCTGGACCCAGGGATGCTGGCTTGGGCAGGGTGCTGCTTCAGCAGCTCAGGACCACCTCTGCCGATGTCCATCCTGCCTAGCCAGTCAGCACAGCCATTTGATTCAAAGCATGTCGGAGAGCAATTACACAACGAGTTGGGTTAAGTGCAACATTAGCTACATTGGGTGAGAGATCATTCATCCAAGGGCTTGGCATTTTCTGGCAGTGGGGTGGGAACCAACAACTGGGGTTGCAGATGCTGAGATGCAACCTGAGTTCCAAAGGGAATCATCCCTCAGAGCCTTCCTTTCTCTCTGAGGATGGCACATCCACCCTCTAAACCCTCAAAAGCCAAGCCTGCCACTGGGAGGCTTGTAAGGTCTTGATACTGTCCCTTGAAAGCACCAGTTGCTGGAAAACATCACTTGAATGTGAAGTGCCACAACTATTCTTTTTATTTTCCTGTAGCTAGCCTACCTCTGTGAATTTCCTACCACCTATTCCAGCATTTTCATTTACAAGTGACAGAGGAATCCCATTTTATCTTGGTGAATTAGCAGGACTCATGGGTAACTATCCAACATATTTCTTTACACTGGTCATTTCCATGACAAATGAGGTGGCTTTCCTAACAGGAGTTGCATAAAGTGAGGTGGCAAGATGTGAATTTTTCAAACACATAATGTCCAATTTCACATACAGCATGTAGGAACTAAAGGAGATATTGGCCATATAACTGTCAGTCTAGTCAATGTTCTATTTATTTATACGGTGTGGTATACATTTATTTATTTTTTGTGTCTGTAACCATACACTACAACCATATACTTGAACATAACCCCTACATCAAGAGGGAATATATATATATATATATATATATATTTCCTTTTCCATGTCCAAAGTATTTGGTTACATTCAGCAGAAGAAATGAAAACATTGGAAAAAAGATTTCAGAGGTAAGTCATGGAATTACAACCTATATACTTCTCTCTAGTCCTGTAACTCAAATCTGAACTACTGTAGGATAACGTGAGCTACAGTTTGTACAACACAACCACAACTGTTCCAAGCACCTGTGTGATGTATCAGTGAGAACAGGTTGCTGAGAAGAGGTGGTGGCAGGGAACTGGATGACACTGTGCTGTGTGGTACCACGCTCTACGGTACCCTGATGTGCAGTCACCACACTGATGCAGTCAGGTTATTTAGAAACCACGTGGATAAAAGCTGCATTTAACAAAGTTGACTGTATTTTGTCTTTTACTATTCTCTCCCTTTTAAAACTAGAAGCCCCAATGGTGCAGTGTTTTTCTGCCATGTTTTTTCCTCCTCCCTCCCCCTTAAATCAGAAAAAAAAAAAAAAGAATCTACATTGCAATTCAGTAACTGCTTCTAGTCAGCAGGAATCAGCACTGTTTCCAGCCAAGGGACTTTCTACAGAAGAGCAACTGCCTTTTGAGATGATGCCATTGCTACAGGACTGGCACCATTACAGGACAGACCATCAGGTTAGCCACCCTCCCTTTAAGAGATCAAGGTCATTTGGGGCACCAAACAGCATCTTGAGCAAACGGGCTATTTTTCTGGCAATAAAATAATGAGGATCAAAAAGTAAATGTACTCACCCCAGGTAAAGTTTTAATATTGTGCAGTGCATTCTGTGCCTCAAGAGCAGCTTTCCTTGTATAAAATGTTACGAAACAACAACCTATAGAGAGAAATGAAAAGCTTTCAGAAATTAGTGAGTATGATTTGTGAGAGTACAATAGGGAGGGAGAAAAAACAGTGGTTGAACAACACATCAGGAAAGCTGGAAATGTGAATTATCATGAGGCTGCCTGAATGACATGAATAAAAGAAAGCTTGTATGGTTTAAACTAAAAAGTCACCCCCTGTGCATTGCATCTATAGCACACCTACATTGTTAGTGAACTGTAATCACTTAGAAATTAAGTTAACCAAAATCCAATTGGCTTTGTACAGTGTAAATAAGGTTACATTTTTCTGAAGGCTCCCCATTATACTTGGAATATAAGCAACATGGCGAGCTCAAGCAGCAGGAATTCATTGTTGCATCCCAGGCAGAAAATCAGGTTATAGCAGGACCTTATTTAAAGGGTCTTATATGTAAGAGCTGAGGTTTGTTCCCCCCGATTTGAAACCAGGTAGGACTGGAGGCAGGACACTCAGCTGCAACAATGAAAAGTTAGAGAAGAATTTGCCACTGGTGGGGTAGTGGAAGCTGCTGATGGTTCACAGCATTAAGTGAGGCTCTGCTCACCCTTCATCTGTCTAACCGTCAGTAAAGCAGGCAGTTTTTGGTTGCCTTCATCCTACAGTTTTCCCTTTGGCAGCACGGTCCAACAGAGTGGTCTGTAGGTCCAAACACAGCTTGTTGCCACTTTCTCCACTGCAAACATTTAAAATAACCCTTCCACAGCACACGCAACCTAGACAGCTCAACACCAGCCCCAGGGCGAGGTCAGGGCTCACAGGCAGATCCTCAGGGAAGAGCTACAACCTGCCAGGTGTGGGACAAAGAGACAAGGGCCATGATTTGACTTGCTGCAATCTGCAATGGCCCACGGCAATGAAGTCTGCTCCGAGGCATGAACAGGGCAGGAGTGAAGAGGTTACTGTGGGAGGACCTTGCACCCACACTGCAGGGGGGATGCTCAACACTATATCCCAACTTGTGACTTCAACTTTACTTCCAGTGGGAGGGAAACCACTTGGAGAGCGACTTTCACACACCAATGTGCGTAACACAGGTATAGACACAAGGAAGATTCACACTTAAATAGCTCCCATCCAGCACAATATATCAGTGATGTAGGAACATCCTTAGAGGCTAATCAGTTGCTACTCTGTCCACAGGGGAAATGCAGTGGGGCTGAATGCAGCCCTTGTCCCGGGGATATGGGCAGCCCCGTCGCATTAAGGAGAGAACCCCAAACTCCTTTAGAGCTCTGTGGCTGCAGATGGGGTGCTCAGGGACCCAGCTGCTATCGGGAGAGGGAAAACATGCTGGGTAATGCTCATTTGGAGATAGAAGTGGCTAGTGAAACAAAAACTCACTTTTATGAAAGAAGATGATGCAGATTTTACTGATGACCAGACAATAATCCTACTCCCTTAATCACAGACAGAGATTTGTTGCAACTTGGAGCATGACAGATAAAATAATCTATCCTTTGGGCAGTGAGCAAAGATGTTGCTTGCACTGGCTCCCTCATGTTGACCAAGGTGAAACATCACATGGCACCTGAAATGCCTGCTTTCGTTCAATCCTCACAGCATCCCCGTAGCAGCAAAAACCTAGGAGAAAGCGTGCACAGGAGAGCACAGCTAGCAAACACGTGGAGGTGGTCTGTACCACACCATGGAAGGAAGGGCTGAATCCAGAACGTGCCCTCCACTGCCTCTCACTTGGCTCAGGCTGTGCCTTATACTGTGAACACTCCCTGCGGCTTTGCAGCCGGGCCAGCGACAACCATTACCTCTAGAACAAGCGAAGGTAATCATGTATTCCCAGCTGGAATACAGTGAGTTTATCCCTAATGCAGCAAAGCACTTGCAGGCAATGCAATACATGGACAGGAAGGTAATGCAGACTTAACTCAGCTGAGAGAAACATTTTTCATACTGCCAAGAGGTTCCTTAAAATTTCACAGATTACTATAGAGACAGTTTAATAATTATTGCAGTGAGCCAAATGTTGTTTGGCAGGGATGAGTATTACAGACAGACACAGCCTGTTAAGATTTGTGCTTTCTGTGAGTATTTCTAAATCTTCATTTCCACTGGAAAAATCTGCAAATTTACACTATTTTACTTCAGAATGAAAATGGGAAACAAATTCAAATTTGTGCCATTTAATAGCATGACTTTGAGAAAACATTGCCAGCCAGCTCCAAAGTCTATCTTTTATTGTTTCTTCATTTGGTTTATTAGCTTTTTAATATAAATATTTTTAACCAGGAGAGAGGATTCAGAGTGGAAAATATCAAGCAGTAGACATCATATTGCAATTGCGATGTCCTTTACCATGGGTCTGAAGAGTTACATTTTAGATTTCAGCTCTGTGGGTTTATTCTGATAAGAAGTTTGAAATCTATTGGTTTATCATTCTTGGCACTACTTGAAAGAACTGCACTTGAAAGATGAATATGCTGTGAAATACCCTTTAACTAGACGTTTTTTGGAAGTAATAGCACAGGAGAGAAAAATGTCTCTGTGAATGAGGGCTGGGAGAAAACAGTAGCTTAATGGGAAATGTGCAGATGTTTTAGGCAGGTCACTGGACCCTTACAAAAATGGAGACTTCTAAGCTCACAGACTGACACCCCTGAAAATGCACAAGGATAAAATCTTTCACTGGATTCATTTTGCTTGTATCTTCTTAAAAAAAAAAAATCACAACAAAACAAGAGATGGTTTGCTGTTGTTTGAGAAGAGCATGGGCACCAGATGTTGGTAGCTGATAGTGACGCTATCTGCTAAAGAGGTTGGGCTGGACTTAAAAAAAAAAACAACGAAAACACAGAAGAACAGAAAAGGCAAAAGTGCACATGGTCCTGAAGGAAACACTACAGCTCAGCCTATGGATTTCCCGAGATGCTTGCTGCTAAGTATGCAGCTGCAATGAGCTGGCTTTGAAGATGCCTCCAGTGTAAAAGCCCCTTGCCTCTGTACTACCTCCTGTAGGAGAAAGTACCAAATTCAGAAATTCAGTCCTTTCTGCAGAAATATCAGAAAGGAAGAAGCCTGTAAAAGACAACACAGCTAATCTGTGCTTTAGGACTTGTAGCTGGCACCTGCTGAAAGACAACTAGGAAATGACTTTCCTTCCTCCATTTTCCCTAAGAAAATATAATAGTGCTGAAGACAAATCAATGACACTGCTAGAAAAGAAAAAGTATGTTTCCTACTAAGGAAAGGAAAAAAACCCCAAACCCAGCCCTCCTCTCTCCAGTCCCATGCACACATAATCTTGGCTTCGTCACCAACAAACTTGACAGTAGCATGAGCCACAACTAAACTTTTCTGATATCCAAATAACTCAAAACCTGACAATGATAACTTTCTGCCCTCCTAGCCAGGATGACTTAAAAGGTGAACTGGTTTGTGGACGTGGTTCTGCCAATCCTCAACAGCCTGAAATACAACACAGTTTAACTTCATGTGGGTTGGTATCTTCTCAACCAAAGGAACAAGAGCTTGTGCTTCTAGTCAGTGCCTCCAAAGCAGCAAATCTGCATTTTGGTAAGCTGGTTGTGCTCTACTTGGAACCGTATTTACTACAGCGTAAGCCATTTTTTCTTTGTACCTAGAAAAAATACTGAATGAATCATGCGGATCCCTACAGTCCCTTAAGGACATCAGCAACAACTTCATGGCTATCCTGCCAGATGCTTGAACAGACTGAATAAAACCTGCCACCCCGTGCTGCACAGCGTCTAATAGCAACAAATGGGATGCCTGAGAAACAAAGGCAGAAACCAGCCCTACTTCTCAAAGCATCTGACAAGAAAACGCTGCAGTGTGTACACTACAATGCGCAACTTCAACATCTCATTAAAAAAAAGGGGAAAAGATCTCTTATTTCAGCTTGTTTTCTCTTTCTCTCTCTCTTTTTTTTTTTTTTTTTTCTCTTTTTCTTTTTTCAAAGGAAATTTAGTGCCAGAAAAAGACCTCAAGGTCCCAGCCATTGGGAGAGAGTTGACACATTCAATTCTCCATGACACATTCAATTCACAAGCCCCTGCTCAGGCTGCCAAAGGCACCAATTAGCACAAGTGGTGGAGATTTTATTTATTTAATTTCCACAGAACCCTGTTTAGCAAGACACCGACAGGGGCAAACAGCCTTGTGTACGGCTAGAACCAGCTTTACTTGAGTCACTGTCAAAGATGGCAGCAGCGGATTACATGGGGATTGTGCAGCCACAGCTTCACTTAAGCAACCTTCTAGAAGTTAGGGATGGGCAAAAAAATTAGCAAATGGTGAGGACTGTCACACCACAATACCCATGAATTTCTGCTGACAGCAAACCTGGGTTTGTGGAGGACATTTATGTGCATTGTCAAATTTTACGACAAATTGCAGAGTTTTCCCCATGAAACTTCCAAAAATGCAGTTGTTCTTATGAGCAGGAGGATTTTTACAAAGAGTTGTCAGTGACCTCCTAACAGGACTTTTCCTTCAGTGCAACTTGTGCTCCTACAACCCAAAATAGCCACCTGTGAAACCCTTGCCCCCATCCACCCAGCAGAGCAGACGTGGCTTTGTTAGGGTGTAAGCTACAGCCGTGTGACATCGCGAGGAGCAACATCATGTCATTATTTTTACCACTTTCTCCCAATTCAAACACAGACTAATTACTCCGTGAGAGCTGTTTACATTCCTAATTTTGAACAACTAACAAAAGGAAGCTCTCCTCCAGTCAGAGATGTGGCTTACACAGTCCTTGCTGGCATTTAACGGCACTGGGATCTGTGTAAGAGGCTTAATCTCTCAGCCAGGATTTCATGCTTGAATGAATACGGCAACCTCCATCTTGCTTTGGGTGCGAAAAAGTCTCTTAGAGTTCCCTAAACTGAATATACAGTTCCTAGGTTAAAGGTACTAGGAATTACACACATGCACCAATATGAGAAAATAATTATTGGACATGGACAGGAATTAAAACACGTCGTTTTATCAGAT